TTTTCTGTTCTCTGTATGTTGCAACCTTTTTCTCATTTTTGATAATGCTTTTTCATGTTTCCTCTCTCATATATTAAGTTGACTCTCTCCTCAATGATTAGTCATTTCTGTAATTTGATTCTAACCTTTATTTCTGCTAATGAGATTTTTAAAATTATTTTGAAGCATCTAGCAGAGTGCATGATACAGAAATTAAAAAATATATATTTATTTTTACTTTAAGACTCTTTTGCCTATAGTCATACTAAAGAAAAAATTAGCTAAATGATAATATACTGTTAAATGAAATATAAATATACATGTTAAATAAAGAGCATATTTTAAGTTCATTTTCACAGAAAGCTAGCTATCTCTTTTCTCCCACTCCTGTTGTTCTGGATCCAAATTTGACTTCAGCTTCCTTAATAGTTTAAGATTCTTTGGGAGAGCTTAATAGGTAAGCCCATGTATGAAACAGGGTGGCTACAGTCAGGACGTGTAAAGGTAGTATCTTAGTTCAGGTTATGGATGTCCAGCAGTAATGTGGCTATAGAGAATAAAATACTCAGCATTTTATGTTTCTAAGCTCATGAAGACATACTTCCAGCTCTTAAAAGTAGGTGGATGCAACATACTTTCTATGACTGAATTGAGTGTTCTCAGCTGAGTCAGGCAGAATAACCTTAGGGGAAAATAGAAGGAGAGAAAGCAAAAATGTATCAGCTTATTGCCAAGACAAACTGAGACAAGAATCTGAGCCAGATTCACCTAAGCATCTCTTTTAGGTTAAAAAGACAGCACAAGGATGGCAGGCATTTTTTTTTTAAGAACAGCCCTCAGTGTGTCTGCCCTGTTGAGCCACTGCTCCTGTCTGGATTGGTTTTCCTCTGCGTCTGGTATATATACTTCATCCTGGGATATCTCTTCACTATCATCCTGACAATTACCTCCTCCCATCTCTTACATATGATGATACATTTCCTGGGTCTTATACATCTTCAGCATTTTTTAGTTTGCTGTTTCATTTTGGTGAAGTGTATCATTTAGCTGTTTCTTGAGGAAAAACATAAATAAGAAATTTATTTTTTAAAACTGTGCTTGTCTAATATATCTTTATTGTACCCCATATTTAAATGATAGTTTGGCTGGGTATACAAATATATGGAGGGAATATAGAAACTTGAAGATATTTGTCCATTATTTTCTCACTGTAGTGTTGTTGCTGATTAAAAGTGTGAGATAATTCTTATTTGTAATCTTTATCTTTTGTTTGTGACCTTTTTTCCCTCTTCCCTCTCTCTTCTGCAATTTCAAAATGATGTATATCGTGGTAAAGATCCATTATCATTAACTGCAGAGCTGTGCATTTTTGTACCCTTTTGTCTGGCAAATCATATATGCCAGTAGTGAAAATATTTATTGAATTATTTAATTGAGGATTTTCTCCCCTCTCTGTTTCTGGATGTCCTATTGTTAGGTTGTTTGATCTCTTAAACTTGTCTTCTAGTAGTGTTGTTTTCTCTCCTGCCTTCATTTCTATCTTTTTGCTATAAATTTTTGGGGGAGATTTCTTTATTGATCAAACCTGTGCAAAATTTTACATCTTCTTCTTGTACTTTTAATTTCTAAGTGTACTTTATTTTTAAAAAAATCTCATGTCCTCCATTTTAAATTATTTCTTATTGCATAGTCTCTCCTAAGATTTTGTGCTGACTTTGCTATTTTGGTTTCTATCTTCTATACTAGAAGCTTTCTTCAAATAATTGATAATTCCAAACTATCTACTCTGAAAGCTTTGAGTATGTTCGTGGGGCTTGAAAAATCGAGACTCAATGTAAAATAATGCAGTAGGTCTTTTGTTGGAGAACCACTAGTGTTAATACATTTAGGTTTTCTCTTTTAGACTGTTCAGGTTTTTTACATAAGAAGCTCACTTTTGGCTTAAGATGTTGGAGAGTTGAGAGGTGAAAGCAGTTAGGGTGGGAATGTGTTACACGTTCAGCATTCTGTAGCTTATTCACTTACTTTGTTTTCAGTATGGTGCCTACACACCCTCTACTCTGTCTTGTGTTTCCCAGTTCAGAGGATAACTCTGTCTCTCTTAAAAAACAAAATAGAAAAACCCTCCAATCAAACAAAAAACTTTCAACTTGCTGCCAGGTTGGTGGATGGGCAGCCACACACTGATGTGGACTGATGGAGAGTAACAAGAGATGTAATTACCTCTCAAACAGCTTTCAAATGCTCCCACTTATTGTCCTCACCCTTCACCCCTTCCAGGATGAACATGATGCTTTCAGTTTCCCCATTCTTTTGACCGTTCTGGGCTACCAGTCTAGAGATTCTGCTTTCTTGAGTCCAGTAAGTTCCAAAGTTTTGTTGCCATTGCCTCCTACTTAAATCCATTTTTTCAAACCATCATAAATTAAAACACTAATAGTGTTTTAAATTTAGCTGTTTTTAAAATTTTTCTTATACTTTTCCTTACCTTGTCACTCTTTTCCAACTTCATATTTTTTTCTTTTTTCTTGTTTGTTTTATTTGGGCTCTGGGATACATGTGCACATCCTGCATCCTGCAGGATTGTTACATAGGTGCATACATGCCATGGTGGTTTGCTGTCTCCATCCCCCACCCCCTGTCGCCTACATCAGACATTCCTCCCGGTGTTATTCCTCCCCATCCTCCCCACCTGCCTTACTGTCTCTCCCCTCCCACCACTCCCCTCCTCTCCACTCCCCCACCTAGCCCTGTGAGTGTTGTTCCCTTCCCTGTGCCCAAGTGTTCTCATTGTTCATCACCTGCCTATAAGTGAAAACATGCCATATTTGGTTTTCTGTTCTTGTGTCAGTTTGCTGAGAATGATGGTTTCTAGATCCACCTATGTCTCTACAAAGGACATGAACTCATTATTTTTTATGGCTGCATAGTATTCCATGGTGTATATGTGCCACATTTCCCAACTTCATATTTTAATTCACACTTTGCTATTGTAACACATCCCTCAATATTGATTTGATCTTTGATCAGGTTCATGTTTCCTGAACTATTGGAAGTACAAAGCAGAAGCTTTGTAAAGTTTATTTTTGCCTCTTATAGTATTTTTAATTATTTCATATTTCTTAATGTATGATTGAATAAAAATTGCATATATTTAAGGCATACAATGTAATGTTTTGATGTATGTATACATTATGAAATGATTACCACATTCCAGCTGATTAACATATCCATCGTCTCACATGGTTACCATTTTCCTGTATGGTAAGGACACTTGACAGCTCTCTCTTAGCAAATTTAAAGTGTACAATATATTATTAACTATAGTCGCTATCCTGTATGTTAGGTCTGCAGTACTTATTCTTCCTACAGCTAAAGGTTTGTACCCTTTAACTTGTATTTCTTTTCTCTCACTCTCTTGTAGTATATTTTAAAATAATGCTATGCTATTGCTTTTAGAATACTGTATCTTCCTCTCATTTAACAATATCTTTCTACAAGCCTTGATTTTTCTTCCTATTTTTCTCATCCTTTCCTATTATTTGTCCCAAACTGGATGGGTGGGACTTGAATTTTCCTTCCCCATGTATATCCTGTTAGAATTCTGCTCTCAACATATAAATTGTACATTCTAAAGCTGTAGCTAGCTCCACTAGGGAACAACTTCTCTGCCTGATTTCCTCTTAGTTTTTATGGGAGTTGCTTTGACAGGCACCAAACATGTGTATTTAATTTTGGAATTGGTAAGGCTTCCTTCCAGGTACTGAAGACATTCCTACCCCTGGATTTTGCTGCCGTGAAGTCAAAGAATAATGCCATTATCCTTCTGGTTTTGTGTTTGCTCTCTCAGAGCAGCTGCTGTTTAATTCTGAAGGTTCAGAAAGCATTCTCAGCCCCATGTTTCCCTGTCCACAGCTCACTTACTCTGTTCCCTGTTGCACAAGCCAGGCTTTGGAATCATTTCTGACACCTCTTGCCATCTAGTCAATTGTGAAATCCAGTTTCTTTTAATTCCTAGTCATCTCTCAAATTTGACCCTCGTTCCCCATCTCCGTGGCCTTTATTTTCTCTGAACTGTTGCAACTCTTTTCTTATCCAAAATGTCCTGACTCTAATCCAGTGTCCACAGAGGTGCAAAAGTGAACTTTTAAAAATAAACATTTGATAATTTTATTTCTCTAGGTGGAACTCTTAAATTTAAAACTTGTAACATGGTTGACAAAGCCCTGTATGATTTGTTCCTGTTCCCTCCTTTGGGCACCTCTCCCTTACTCAGAATGATCCAGAGTTGATGATGATGATGATGATGATGATGATGATTCTTTTTTTTTTCTTTTTTTTCCATTTCTTGAAGGCACTATGTCCCCTTATGCCACATTTCCCTCTGTTTGCTTTTCGCATTTTATTGCTCTATTTGTCTAGCTAACTTCAGGCCATTATTCATGGCTATCATCTCCCCTAGAAATCCTTTCCTGTCCTTCTAGGTTAGTTTCCCTGTTATATGGTCCCATGGCACCTTGCACTCTTTACATCTGTTATCACAATTGTAACTATTTGTATAATTATTTGTTAATGCTTATTTTTCTCACTTTACTGTAAGCTGAGGTTAGAGTCATGTCTTTCATGTTCAATATCTCCTGTTCCTAACAGTATCTAGAGTAAATATAATTATGATATGGTCTTTTTCTTTAAGTATGCTTAAGTTTAGATTTTGTATTTCAAAATGTTGAACAAAGGTTACAGAAGAGTTTAAGAAGTAAATCGTGGTAGCAGATATCCTTGTTTTTTTTTTCTATTTTAAGTTGATAGTGCTGGTGTTCCAGCATTAAGAATAATGTTGGCTTTTAAAAGGTCTCTACCATTATATTTAAGAAATCTCTTCTCTGTGTATTTTTAAAGGTTTATATTTTCTTTTTAGTTTATAATATATTTGGGGTTAAAGTATTGCATACTTTAAAAATTTGGTCTATGAAATGAATAATCTTTTGCTGTAATTCCTCTTTCATGTTTGTTTATGCCAGATGATTCAAGAATTTTTAAAAATAAAATCTCAAAGCAGATCCAGTCTACTATGAGGAGATTAAAATATAGATTTCCTGGTGTTGGTGAGTTTATAGTCATTGACTGAAGTTATACCATTATTGCATAGTTTTATGCTTTAAAAAAAGAGCTGAAAACCATAACACATTTACTCTCTTTTGACTATGCAGAATTTATTAATTGAAGAGTATTTATTTATTTTCAGGTATATAGTGGGTACTGTACAGATATCAATAAGCATTCTATAACTTAAGATAATATGTTTAACATACTACAATGACTGATCATCCCCTTAAATTAAAGGAAGTAAAAAAAATTATTGAATTATTTAACTTGGAGTAGCTTGCTAATACATATTTACTTATAGAAGTGCTTGTCAATCTTTTCTTTTTCATTTTTTCCCTCTAAGGAGCTTCTTTAGACCTTTTTTTCCTAACTGATCCCTCTCCCTTAAAATTTTAATACCACAGGTATACTGTATATCAGTTTATGTGCTATATGTATATCTGTGATTTATAGAGAGTAAGATTTTTTTCACCTCCTATGAACCAATTCTCACCCTTTTGGGGATGATATCACCTCTGTTGAAAATGCATGACCTAGAGTTAGTCAGTTCTTGTTATTATGACAGCGATTTCATAGCACTATTTTTTTTGTCGTTAATGATAATTTATATAAGTCCTAACAGCATATAGATTTAACAGATCTTAAGGACTTGGAGAAACTAATATAATCTACTAGATCAACAATCTGTGTTTTAAAGAATTCACATAGCGACATATTTGAGGGAAAAGTTATTTAGTATGTCTTATATTCCTTTATCCATATGTTTTTCACAAACATCATATGAAAAAGAAAGATGTTGACCTTCTAAAGTACCTAAATTTTTATTCAATCACGCCAGGTTTCTAGTCTTGGCTCTGTGAACGCCTTCATTATCAAGTCACTAAAACATACTGTTCACCACACACTGGGGTCAGTTGGGGGGAAATAGGGGAGGGACGGTGGGGGGTGGGGAGCT